TGTGTTCATCCAGCTCTACACCTTGTTATCTCAGATTCTCCAGCATCTGCAGTTCCTACTATCTCTGATTCTGAACTCCTTGGTTTTCGGGAACTTATTCGCTCCACCTACTCGCTGCGTCAGTTCTTTTGCTAATTTTACATCTCGATTTGACAACAATATTTTTTTTGGAACAAAAAACACGTAATTTTCCATTCTTCCACAGTGCAATTCAATGGCAGACTCCCCACCCAGCACTCGCAGCGAGCCGGGTTATGCCCTATGTGTCGCGGAGATCTAGACGCATGCGTATTGGGGAACGCTAGTGGAGCATGCGCGTTGCCAAACAGTGAGTGGAGCTGCACGGAGCGGGTGAGAAAATGGCTGCTTCAACAAAATAACAAAGTCAGTGGTGGTAGAGAGGAATAGAGTGAGCGAGGTGGGCCAGAAAGCTTCATGAAGATGCAGGGCAGGCTGCAAATCCAAATAAGAAATTAATAGCCCCACTTTGAAGTGAAAGGCTACAATTACTGAGTTTGCCCATTTGCTCGAGATCTAAGGAACAGCTGCCATCTTTATTTGGGGCAACGAGGAGCAGAACGCATGCTGGGTCGCCATCCTTGTAGGAGGCAAGGAGGAGGCGCATGCGCCATCATCCTGGGCCAGCAGTAGAGAATATTTTGAATTTATATCCTGGATTGACTGGGAGGGCATTTTGACAGGGGGCTAGAAAGGGAGGATTTACATACAGCAAACTCAAACCAAGAGAAAAATTGGTCTCTTGATTGGCTATCCCAGACTGACAGTGATGGACTTTGTTTTTATAGGATTCTGCAAGTGGAAGATTGAAGGATGCAGAGTTCAAACCAAACATCACATCAATCCCTCGATTTATTAGGATCTGAATCAGATGGACATCTGAATATGGAAGGATTAAGGTTAGTCTGTTCTGTCAGCAAAGCTTTTAGGTATCACTGACTGGAAAAATACTGAGATTCACAAACCCTGGTTAGACCACTGCTGGAGAACTGCAGTTAAAAAAGACAGAAAATGTTGCAGAAACTCAGCAAGTCTGTGGAAAAAGTAACACAATTAATGTTTCAAGTCCAATATAACTCCTCTTTGGAATCTGGAGAATTGCATTCAGTTCTGGGCAACGAATCTTAGGAATGATCAATAGGTTTTCAAGCAGTGTAGCACAGGTTTACTAGAGTGATATCTGAACTGCAAGAGTTACATGAGATCATGCAAAAAAGGCAGGGTCATTATGACAGCGGACGCCTTTCAGCCTTGATTACACACCAGCTCTGCAGACCAATCCAGTCTATCACATTTACCTGCTCTATCCTCAAATTCTGGTCAATTTATTTCCTTAAAGTGCTGATACAATTTCCTTTTAACATTGATCACTTCACCTATTTCTACTCCCTGGTTGGCAATAAGTTCCACGTTATCACTACTGTCCATGTGAAAATGTTCTAATCACATCCACCACCGCTGATTAACTCAAAGCCTTTGATCCATCCCTTGCCCATGTATAGTCAGCTAATGAGAAGAGATTGGCTTTCTCCACCCTATTTAGACTTGTCATAAATCTCATACATTTCAAGCAAATTTCTCAACCTATTTACTGGAACCATTCTAAGAAATAATTCTGCACCTTCTCGAGAAGCCTCACATCCTTCCTGAAGTCTGGTCACAATATTCGAATTGCGGCCTAACCAGAGCTTTATAAATGTTCGCAAAACATCCCTACTTTTTAGCAAATAACAGTTATTCATGAATTTCAAGATTCAATTTGTATTGCTTACTAATCTCTTAATATAGCTTGTGACCTTGAAGGATCAGTGCACACGAAGTCTCAGCTCCCTCTGTCCCTGAATATTCTTTAGAATTGTACCATTAATTATATATTTTCTTTCCTATCCCTTCAGCTAAAATGAATGGCCTCACTGTGAGGGAGGTATTCTATGCAATTTAAGACTAAGAGGAAATGTCATCAAAATTTTCAGGATATGAAATGGGAACTGATAGATAGAGAGGACCTATCTCCAGTAGATGGGGGATCATGGAGTGTAGGGCACAATCTAAATTTAGAATCAGGTTTCAGAAATTATTCAGCTCCATTCTGATAAATTTCCTCTTCACACTCTTAAGGACCCTCACACTGTTTTTAAAATGTGGTGACCAAAACTGGACACCACTGGAATTGTGGCCTAACAAGAGCTTTATAAGTGTTCAACATTACTTGCCTCCTTTTCTTTTCAATTGCAACATTTATGAAGTTTGAGATCCAATTTGCTTTGATGACTAATGAATATATTTATCTACCTTCAAAGTTCGGAACACAAGAAACACAAATTCCTTGGTCCCTACATTCTCTTTTGGAATTGTACCATTCATTATATATTATCTTTTCCTTTATCTACTGCTAAAAAAATCACCTCGCTATTAGGGAGGTATTCCCCTGAACTCAAAGACTAAGTGGTGATTTTGATCAAAGCTTTTTGGAAGTGATTGGCAACTGATATGGGAGTTGGAGAGGAATTATTTCACCTGGGTGGGGAATCTAGGATGAACAGGTTAAACGTAGAATCAGGTTATAGCACTTTTTCAGGGCAAGTGTTCTGGATCCTGACAACTCTACTAGTGCAGATGCTGGTAAACTCTATGTTGAGTTTGGAAGGTTTTAAAGAAAATTCATTCCCTAGCTATGTCTCTTGAGGGAACTGATTGAGGCAGAATAGCTAACAATCTCTGTCATATTTGACTTTGAGATGAGTTTCAGACTACTTGACCACACAATCACTGATACCAAATAATTCAATTGCCATGTCACCCATCTCCACCCAACCCGAGCTAGTCTGATGGTGAAACCATCACCCACTCCTGCGTGACCTTTAGATTCCAATACGTTCATCGCCAGCCTCTCTCATTCACCTCATGTTGAGTACGGAAGGTTTTGAAGTGCTGAATTGAAAGTTGAGCTGTTGATCTTCAAGCTCCCATTGTGCTTCTTTGGAATAGTGCAGTAGACTGATGACAGAGAGGTCACAGATGGAATGATGTGGAGAATTAAATTGACAATTGACTGGAAACTCAGGATCCAGCTCACAGACTGAATAGAGGCTGTTCCACACTGTGTGTTGATGCTTCTCAGTGTAGACTACATCATGATCAGCAAATGCAATAAATTAATTGCAAGTACAAGTAAATAACCATTTGGGTGCTATCGTTAATAATCTTGAGAACAGCCTGAATAAAGTATTATTCAGAGTATTGATGGTTCAGTTCTGGATATGGTCAACAGCAGGATCCAAACCCCGCAGTTCCTAGCAAACTCACCAATATCTGAGCAATTGGGTAAATCAATTCAATCCCTTCTGCCTCACTGAGCCAGTGATCGGTCTCTTCCTAGCATGACCTCACTAGTGTTTGCCTCAGAAGGGATGGTTTTCACATGCAGCAGCTGGTCTTTCCAGGTGGTGGGATTTTGGGTTTTGGAGATTCTGGTTGAATTGCTATGAAAGATGTCCATCTCCTTTTCCTTTCCTCCTCCTCCTCCCCCCACCTCTCTCTCTGTCTTCATTCTGTCCTTCTCTTCTTGCCCAGACAGGCTAGTATGACAGCGATCACGGATCACTGAAGGCTATGACTAAATCAGTTGGATTTTTACAGCTCTTATGATCACTTTCTCTTGTTTGAAATATGTTTTATAGGGCATTGGAAAGGGACGATTTTCAGATAGGAAGCTCAAAGCAAATACCACGTCTGGACCTGACAGAGACACTCAATTCATCAGGACCTGAATGTCATCAGATTTTGAACATGGAAGGTAAAAGCAGTGTTAACAGTGATGAGAAACCATACTCGTGTTCTGTGTGCGGACGAGGCTTCAACCAATCATCTGGCCTGTCGAGACACAAAGTTAGTCACAGTGAGGAGAAACCATGGAAATGTGGGGACTGTGGGAAGGGATTCAATTACCCTTACGAACTGGAGACTCATCAGCGAGTTCACACTGGGGAGAGACCATTCACCTGTAGTGAGTGCGGGAAGGGATTCACTCAGTCATCCAGCCTTCTAACACACCAGCGGGTTCACACTGATGAGAGACCTTTTAAATGTCCAGACTGCGGGAAGTGCTTTAAAAGTTCGTGGGAACTGATGACCCATCAACGTGTCCACACTGAGGAGAGACCATTCAGGTGCTCTCACTGTGGGGCTGGATTCAAGTACTCATCTCAACTCACTGTACATGAGCGCAGTCACACAGGGGAGAGGCCATTCACCTGCACTGAGTGTGGGAAGGGATTCACTCAGTCATCGATCCTATTAAAACACAAGCGAGTTCACACCGGAGAGAGGCCATTCACCTGCATTGAGTGTGGGAAACAATTTGCTCAGTCATCCAGCCTGCAGACACACCAGAGAGTTCACACTGGTGAGAGGCCATTCATTTGCCCTGACTGTGGGAAGGGATTCACTACCTTATACAACCTGCTGATACATCAGCGAATTCACACCGGGGAGAGACCGTTCACCTGCTCAGAGTGTGGGAAGAGATTTATTAACTCATCCCACCTGCTGAGACACCAGCGTGTTCACAAGTAAGTTCACAGATTGGATTTTGTTGTTAATCACATCAGGACTGAACCATGTTCATTGGGGTTTGTTTCTGCTGCTGTTAATAAACACCACTCCAGTCATACATGTCAACATTCTGGATAAAAGTAGAATAAATAATTTTCAGACACTGCGTCAAGTATTTTCTAATATTTCTGACACACATTAGTTACTTCTGAAGTGCTTGCTCTCTCTCTGTCTCTCTTCTCCCCCCCCCCTCCCCCCCACCATCCCCGTTTCCTCCATCCTCACCTCCAACAAGTGCAAGAAGTTCATGGAATTTCTTTGTCACTAAAATCTCTGCCTCGGTTCCACTAGCCGACTGGACAAAATATCCTCTAATCTTTGCCTGCCTCCATTCCTGGGCACTCACCTTTATCCCGTTTCACTCCTGATGCCCTGTCAGTGCTCAGCTCGTCCACTGAGCCCCTGCACCCTCCACCCAATTCTCACAAAACTACCCATGTTCGCTGCTGCTGTTAATGGTTCACACTCTGTCTCTTCTGGTTCTGTCCCTCTCACTTTTACATCCATAATGCATTCTAAAATAAACTCTTGAACCACTGTCCTTTCAAACCTCGGCCCCTTCTTCACCCTCTCTTTCTTCTCTAAGGCCTTGATGTCCCCCAAGGATCTTTCCTTGGTCTTTCCTATTTCCCATCTACATGCCGTCACTTGTGAAACCACTGTGTTAGTTTTCACATGTACACTGAAAGCCTCCAGCTCTCCTCACCAACATCCCTCTCCATTCCTCCGCTGTTACTAAATAGATCAAATGGCCTATGCCACATCCAGTAGTTGAGGAGATGAAATTTCCTCCAATTATAAATTGGGATAATCAAGGCCATTGTCTTTGTTCACCCCTGAAAATTCATTCCCTAGCTGTGTCTCTTGGAGGAAGTGATTGAGGCTGAATAGCACAGCTAACAATCTGTCATATTTGACTTCAGGATGAGACTACACGCCCACACAGTTATCCATACTAAATAATTCAATCACCATAATGTCACCCCTCTCCACCCCACCCTAGCTAGTCTGCTACTGAAGTCCTCATCCATGCCTGTGTTATCTTTAGACTTGATGATTCCAATGCATTCCTGACCAGCCTCTCTCATTCATCCCACCTGCTCCGGAAATGCAAAATCATACAAAATTTTGCTGCCCGTGTTCTTTCCTGCACCAAATCCTGTTCACCTATTTGCCCACATTGGCTCCTAGACAGGCAGTGTTGCAAAGTTCAAAATTTGCAACCATTTTTTCAAATCCCCTATGGCCTTGTCCTTCCCTATCTTTGTAATCTCCGATCATAGAACCCATAGAGTGTGTAAACAGGCTATTTGGCTCTACAAGTCCACTGACTCTCCAGACAGCATCCCACCCAGACTCACCCCCCTACTCTATACCTGAATTTGCCATGGCTAATCCATCTAACCTCCTCACTACGGGCAATTTAGCATGGCCAATCCGCCTAACGTGCACATCTTTGGACTGTGGGAGAAAACCAGAGATTCTGGAGGAAACCCACACAGACATGAGGAGAATGTGCGAATTTCACATAGACAGTCGCCTGAGGTTGGAATTGAACCCCGGTCCATGGTGCTATAAGGCAGCAGGGCTAACCACTGAGCCACCGTGCTGATCCCAGTCTCACAATTCTCTTGAGAAATCTGCCCACTCCACATTCAGTCCTCTTGAGTCTCCCTGATTTTAATCACTCCATCACTGGTAGCTGTGCATGGGTGGGAAATACTGATATTCAGTTCCTGAACCTTTTCATCTCTCTCCTGATTAAAGATGGTCATTAAAAACCACCTCTCCAGTTAAGAACGTCCTTCATGTTGCCCTATCTAATTGTCAAATGTTTATTTTAAAAAGTCTTCTCTGAAGCCCCGTAGGACATTTTATTGCATTAGGCATATTACATAAATACAAGTGGTTACTGGTTCACAACACCAGTTTGTGCACAGTGAGACTCCACAAAGAACAATTAGGTGAGTGACTGGTTAAACCAGGTTTTGTTAGTTCTAATAGTTAAGACACATGTGCTAGACAGCTGCACCAGAATTCCACTGTGAATAGTCTGTGAAGGAGCTTTGGACTCCTGAGCTGAGAGTGGAGCTGATTGAGTTGTCAAACCTGCAGTGAACCTTGAAGAACCACTATGTGGGATCTTTCCTCTTCATTCACCAACTCCCAGGTGAAGTTGATTGTACAGTAAAACAAATCAGTTTGAATCTCTATCCCCATGTAATCCTCAGAGAAAAAGCTACAACATTCTTGTATTCATTTCACATCTTTCCTCATCCTCAGAACAAACCAAAATGATTGACAATCAATGATGAATTTGGAAAGGATAAATGAGGTAGAATAAACTAAACTCTACAATTTTAAAAATAAAGAGTGCAGAAACACAGTGACCTGGAATTGTATGAACACTATTGTTTGTTTGTGACAGGATAAGTTGATCAAGCTGTGTTTTGTAAAATCTAACAGGTCCTTAATTTATTAATGGACACAGGATGTAATAAGACATGAAGTTCTCCTGAATCTTTCTAAATCACTAAAATCCTGAATTGAAATACTGTATTCATTTCTAAGCACCAGACTTTAGGAAAGATGTCAATGCCTTGAAGAGGTTGTGGAGACAATTTCAGAGTAATATCAGGGATGGGTGGTTTCAGTTCATTTGAAGAGACTGGAGAAGCTGGGATTGTTCTCCTCGCAGCATAGAATGTAAAACAGCGATTGACCAGAATGTTTGAAACATTTGTAGGAGTTTTTTCTCCACCCAGGGAGAAATGATTTGGGTGGTCAGGATGGTTGATGCCCATTGAATATCATTGGCCTTTGACCATGGAAGAGAAAACGTTTCCTTGTAGCATAAGATTTCAGGTATGGGTGTGACTGTAAAAGCACAGAGATTCAAAATACTGGGCAGACCACACCTTGAAAGTGCGCTCCATTCTGGACATCCACCTGAAGATGGATGGACTTTGTTGACCTAAGAGGATGCACAGAGCAGACTTACTTGAATGATAACTGGGACCAGAGGATGACTTATGAGGGAAGGCTGCCAAAATGAGTCAGCGTTATTACAGCACAGAGCAAGGCTAGTTGACTCATCGATTGGTATAGCATAAATAAAGTAAATGAGTTAACTTTGTGGCCTAAACATTAGTCTAGGAGGAATGGGGCAATATTATCAGTACTGGGGCATAGGGAGCTGCTCTAGTGGAATGGACTTCATCTGAACTGTGCTGGGAGCAGTGTCTGGGCAAATTGAATAACTAGGTTTGTACACTATAGGGCTTTAAAGTAATGGTGGGGTGCAGAGGGGAGTTGTTAGAGGATGCAGGAGGAGGGAAATGTAGGCTGCTAAATCACAATATGGTAGCATTTCAAGGCAACAATTTTGACAATCACACCAAAATGTGACAGGAAGGGACAGAGTACAGCAAGCATATAATAAAAAAAATCAGCAAAATGAGACAAAGAGAGAAGGAAAGGTAATAAGACAAAGGTTAATGACTCTTTACTTAAATGTGTGCAGCATATATGTAACAAAATAAACAAGTTAATGGGATAAAAATGGGTTAATGAATATGAATTTATAGGTGACTCATTAATTAGTACTGTTGCCAGGACCTGAGTTCGATTCCAGCCTCAGGTGACTCATTGCACAATGTTTACACATTCGCCCTGTATCTGCATAGGTTCCCGCTGGATGCTCTGGTGTCCTCCCACTGTCCAAAGATATGCAGGTTAGGTGGATTGGCAATGCTAAATTGTCCCGTAGTGTCTAGGGGTGTGTAGGTTAGGTGAATTAACCATGGGAAATACAGGGTTACACGAATAGGGTAGAAGGGTGGGTCTGGATGGTATGCTATTCGGACGGTTGGTGTAGACTAATGGGTCGAATGGCCTGTTTCTGCACTGTAGGGATTCTATGATTCTTGATTCAATTATTCATTACAGACACACAGGAGATCAAAGCTGGAAGCTATAACATTCAAGTCATGTGACCTTTCAAAAGAACAGGCGGGAAGGCAAGGGTGGCAGGTTGGATTTGTTGTACAAGATGGAATTAGTACCTTAAGAGAGAAATGCTCTTGAATTAGGTGGTGTAGAATCCATATGGGTGGAGCTAACAAAACACAGATGGAAGTTATCGACAGACCCCTGAACTCTAGCTTCTTGATAGGACAGAGAATAAATCTGGAGATAATGAGGGCTTTTTAAAAAGGCAACACATTAATCATGGATGACTTTAATCTTCATATATCTTGGGAAAAACAAATTGGCTGAGACAGCCAAGGAACAATTCATTGAGTGCATTTGTGATAGTTCGTTATCCACAATATGTTGTGTGTTCTCTGACTAAAAAATTCTCCTAGAGAATAGTGATCATAAGTTGGTAGAATTTAGCAGTTTGAGAGTGAGAAAGCTGAGACAATAACAGTTGTGTTGAGCTTAAATAAGGATAATCACCTGGGAATGAGGAATGGTGCTTATAACGCAGTGTTATTTTCCCTACCTCTGACCCAGGAGGCCTAAGTACACATCCCACCTGTTCCAGAGGCATGCAATAACATAGAACAGTATAACACAGGAACAGGCCCTTCGGCCCACGATGTTGTGCCAAACATGGCGCTAAATGAAACTAATCCCTTCTGCCTGCCCTTGGTCCATATCCCTCCATTCCGTACATATTCATATGCTTATCGAAAAGTCCTTGAAATGCCCTTATCATATTTACCTCAACCACCATCCCTGCCAGCATGTTCCAGACTCCTACTACACTCTGTTAAAAAAATCTTGCCCTTCACATCTCCTTTGTACTTTCCCCTGCTCACCTTAAATTCATGCCCCTAGTATTAGACATTTCAACTCTGAGAAAAAGATTCTGTCAACTGTATCCACGCATCTCTTAATTTTATAGACTTATATCAAGTCTTCTGTCAGCTTCCGCCACTCAAGAGAAAACAACCCAAGATTTTTTAGCCTTTCCTTATAACTCATACCCTCTAATCCTGGCAGCATCCTGGTAAACCTCCTCTGCACTCTCTCCAAAGCCTCCACATCCTTCCTGTAAAAGTGGTGACCAGAATTGAATGCAATACTCTAAGTGGGGCCTAACCAAAGTCTTATAAAGCCACAACATGATATCCAAACTTCTGTATTCAATTCCCCAACCAATAAAGGCAAGCATGCCATCTGCCTCATTTACCACCCTGTCTACTTTCAAGGAGCTATAGACTTGAACACCAAGATCCTTCTGTACATCAATGCTGTTCGGAGTCCTGCCATTAACTGTATCGTTTGCCTTAACACTTGATTTCCCAAGGTGCATCACCTCACACTTGTCCATTAAACTCCATCTACTATTTCTCCGCCCTTACCTGTAACTGATTTATATCCTGCTGTATCCTTTGACAACTTTCTACACTATCGACAACTCCACCAATCTTTGTATTGTATACAAACTTACATCTGCAAATAACATCTCTGAACAGGTTGATTAGAAAATGTCTTACATGGGAATGGGCACAGAATTGGCTGAAGTAGACTGGGAATGGAGTTCAGCAGAAACAGGTAACCGTAGGACAGTAAGATTAATATAAGTCCTTAGGAAAATGTTAAGAGTCTATTTTAAAGGATGTTGTTGCAAAGCATTTAGAAGTACATAATATAATCAAGCAGAGTCAACATGGCTTCATGATGTGGAAATTGTGCCATTCAAATTTATTACATTTTAATTTTTGAAGATGTCACAAGCAAGGTAGATAAGTAATATTTTTGGATTTCCAAAAGATACTCAACAAGGTACTGAATAAAGCTACTTAATAACAGTCCATTGTGTTGGCGGGAGGTGGGGAGGGGATAGCATATTAGTATGTATTGAGGATTGTCCAACAAATAGAAAACTTTCGAATAGCACTTTCGGCATGGCAATCTGTAATTAGTGCAGTGCCACAGGATCAGTGCAGGGGCCACAAATGTTCACTAAATATTAAATGGTTCAAATGATGGAAGTGATTGTACTACAGCCAAGCCTGCAATTGACACAAAAATAGGTGGGAACACAAGTAGTAAGGATGACACCTGTCTATATCTATAGGGTGTGGGTAAAACCTTGTCAGATGGAGTATATGTGGGGAAAACGTGAGATTATACATTTTGGCTGGAAGAATAGAGTATTATTTAAATGAGGAAAGACTGCCAAAAGCTTCAGCGCGGAGTAATTTAGGCATTCTAGTGCACGAATATCAAAAGAAAACTAGTATACATGTTCAGCAGGTAGTCAAATGGAATATTGACATTTATTTCAAAGGGAATGGAGTATAAAAATCAGGATGTATTTCAAAAACTGTACAGAGCATTAGTTAGACCACAACTAGAATACTGTGAACAGTTTTGGTCAACTTATCAAAGGAACAATATACTGGTGTTGCAGGCAATCCAAAGAAGGTTCACTAGGTTGATCACGCATATGGCCAGATTTTTTTATTAAGTAGTTAGGCTTATACTCATTGAAGGTCAGGAGAATGAGAGCAGATCTTAGCAAAACATAGAGGATTCTTAGGGGGCTTGACAAGATAGGTATCAAAAGGTTGTACAAGAGGGCGTAATCTCAGAGTGCTCATTTAAGACAGAGATGAAGAACTACTTCTTCTGAGGGCAGTGTGTCTGTATAATTCTTTACTACAGAGGTGTACCTGCAATGGCAAGGCATACAAGACTATGGGCCAAGCATTGGAAAATGGGATTAGAACGGTAGGTGGTTGTATTTGACCGATAAGGACAAGAGATGTCGAGTCTCAGTCATCAAGTGTATTCAAGGATGAGACAGTTGGAGTTCTAAGCAGAGGGCAAATTAAGCGTTATGGGGAAAAGGCAGGAAGGTGGAGTTTGGGATTATCAAATCAGTCATGGTGTCATTGAAAGGTTGAGTTGACTTGATGGGCAGACTAGCCTACTTCCGCCCCTTACAAATTACAGTCTTCTTGAAAATCACTCATTTACCACGATTTCTGGTTTCTTGTTACTAAATTATTTTTGTATTTGTGTTGCTACTGCTCCTGTTATGCAATGAGCTATACATTTTCTGAAAAGTCTGTTGTGTGCCACCGTATTAAACGTCTTTTTCAAACGCCACATAAACTACAACATTATCATTATCCTCACCAACGCCTGTTACCTCGTCAAAGATTTCCAGAGAATTAGTTCAACATGACTTTTCCCTGAGAAATCTATGCTGCCTCCTCTTAATTAACCCACTTTTGTCCATGTGACTATTTAATTCTGTCCTGAATTATAATTTTGAGAAGTCAACTGTTAAATTGACTGGTCTGGAACTGCTGGGCTTATCCTTATACTCTTTTTGAAGGAATACGTAAAGCCTGCAATTCTCAAGTCCTCTGACAACTACCCTGAGTGTAAGGAAGCCCAAACAATAATGGCCAGTACCCCTGTAGGTTCCACCGTTACTTTCTTCAGTATTTTTGGGCAGTTCTCATCTTGTCCTGGTTACTTTGCAACTTTAAGGACTGATCGTTTATCCATCACTTCCTCCTTAAAATTTCAAACACTACTAGTGACCGAGTTACTTCCGGTCATCATGATCTGGGTAATAGCAAATACAAAGTATGACTGAATATCTCGGCTATGCTCTTTGCCACCATGTGTGAATCCCCTTTTTGATGACAATTTTTAAATTCAGTCATGGGACATGGGCACCACTGCCTGGCTAGCATTCATTACCCATTCACAGTAGCCCTCAGCAGAGTGTTGAGTTGCCTTGAACCATTGCAACATATGTATAGTTAGACTCACAACGCTGTTAGGACGGGAACTCCAGCAGTGAAGGAACGGCGATAAATTTCCAATTCCAGCTGGCAAGTGGCTTGGAGGGGAACTTGCAAGGGTGATGTTCCTGTGTATCTGCTGCCTTTGTCCCTCTAGTTGAAAGTGATTGTGGGTTTGCAATGTGCTGTTGAAGGGTCCTTGGTGAATTTCTGCAGTGCATCTTGTAGATAGCACATACTGCAGCTATGGAGCATCGATGGTGGAACGAGTGGATGTTTATTGGATGTAATGCCAATAAAGTGGGCTGCTTTATCCTGGATGGTGTCAAACTTATTGAGTGTTGTTAGAGCTGCACTCATTCAGGCAAATGGGGAGTATTCCATCACACTCCTGTCTTGTGCCTTATAAATGGTGGACAGACTTTGGGGAGTCATGAAATGAGTTACTTGCTGCAGTATTCCTAGTCTCTGAACTGCTGTTGTTGACACTATTTATATGGTGAGTCCAAATGAGTTTCTAGTCAATGTTAACCTCCAGCATGTTGACAGTGGGGATTCAGTCATGGTAATGCCATTGAATATCAAGGGGCAATGGTTAGATTATTTCTTATTAGAGATGGGCATTGCCTGGCATTTGTGGTACAAATATTAGTTGCCACTTTTCAGCCAAAGCTTGGACATTGTCTAGGTCTTGTTGAGTTTGAACATGGACTGCTTTGGTATCTGACGAGTCATGAATGGTGCTGAACATTGTGCAATTGTCAGTAAACATTCCCAGTTCTGACCTTACGAAGAAGGGAAGATCATTGGTGAAGCAGCTGAACATGCACTATCTTAAGGAACTCCAGCAGAGATGTCCTGGAGCTGAGAAGACTTGGACCTGAAATGATTGACATCCAACAAAACAACAACCATCTTCCTTTGTAGCAGGTATGAGCTTTCCCCCACTGATTCTCATTGACTGCAGTTTTACCAGGGCTCCTTGCTGCCACACTGGGTCAAATGTGGCCTTGATGTCAATGGCAGTCATTCTCACCTCACCACTTGAAATCACCTCTTTTGTAATGTTTAAACCAAGCCTGTAATGAGATCAGGAGGCTAAGTGGTCTGGCAAAACCCAAACTGGGCATCAGTGAGCAGGTTATTGCTGAGTATATGCTGCTTGATAGCACTGTTGATGACAGCTTCCATTACTTTAGTGTTGATTGAGAGTAGACTGATGGGGCAGTAATTGGCTGGGTTAGATTTGTCCTGCTTTTTATATACAGAACATACCTGGGCTGTTTTCCACATGGATCCTATGCCACTTTGACCCACCTTTAACTAGGCAGGTGCCTTACGTCGTCTGGTCAGCATGATATGAATCAGTACAGCAAAATCCCAGAGGTTTTCTAATCCATCACCTTAACCTTTTCCACTCTTTGTGTCAAGAAATTTCAACAGTACTAATTTGTGAACAGAGGAAAGAAACTCACACCGTCATATGATATAGTTCAGATTTCCCTGAAACCATCTGTTATTGAATTAAATGTAATTAATGGATCAAAGTGTTTGTGATTAATTTGATTAAAACAAAAAGAAATAGGAACAGTAGGCCATTCAGCCCTTTGAGTCTTCTCCATCATTCAATATGTTCATGTCTGATCAGCCAACCGAGTATCCTATTCCTACTTTCTCCATGTATCCTTTGATCCCTTTAGCCCCAAGATCTATATTTGACTCCTAACAGCACAATCCAAATCACTGTAGCTACTCATGAACTCGCTGGTGTCTCAGTAGGTTGTATGACTGCGTGAATCCCTTCCCACACTTTGAGCAGGTGAACAGCCTCTCCCCTGTATGAACTTGCTGGTGTCTCAGCAGGGCAGATGACGCTGTGAATCCCTTCCCACACTCTGAACAGGAGAACGGTCTCTCCCCGGTGTGAACTCGCTGGTGTTGCAACAGGGCTGACGACTGAGTGAACCCCTTCCCACACTCAAAGCAGGTGAACGGCTTCTCCCCGGTGTGAACCCGCTGGTGTTTAGTGAGGTCGGATGACCGCCTGAACCCAGTCTCACAGTCAGAGCACCTGAACGGTCTCTCATCAGTGTGAAGAATTTGATGAGATATCAGTTCCCTAGAACATTTGAAGGACTTCCCACAGTCTTGGCAAGCAAAAGGTCTCTCCCCTGTGTGAAGTCGCTGGTGCCTCAGCAGATGGGATGACCGAGGGAATCCCTTCCCACACACGGAGCAAGTGAATGGTCTCTCCCCGGTGTGGACCCGCCGGTGAATTTCAAGCGCAGAAGGGGATTGGAAACCCTCTTCGCAATCTCCACACCTCCATGGTTTCCTGCCACTGTGAACGTTTTTTCCTTCCATGCTCCAAATCAGAAAATATTCGGATTTCTTCAAATCTGCAGACCTGGTCAGATCCTAGTATCACCTTTGGTTTCAGTTTCCTGATTGTAGATGCTGGTGTTCTAACACCCTGTACAGTGAACTGAAATAGTAAAAAAAAAAAGGCGTGAAAGAATAGCCACAAAAACACAAAGACAGGTTTTGAAATGAGTTGAAATGAATGTGGTAATCTATGGAGCTGATACAAGGGGAAAATTGACAGTGAAAACTGCTGGATTGTCGTAAAAATGCAATTGATTACATAATGTCTTTCAAAGAAGGGGACCTGCCACCCTGTCTGGACCTGCACAAGACTCCAATCTCCATGGGTGGAGAGAAAGTGACAGAGACAGGGACTGCAATGAGACAGATTTTAAACAGCTACAACCTGAACAGAAGATTGACAGAATCTCCCAAATCCTCTCCCTCCACCACCTCAAAGGACCAAGGTAGCAAAAATTTGTGAAGACCATCATCTCCAAGTCACATACCATCCTGACATGTCTGACATGCAGTATTGGGATGAGCAGAAATTTCCACTATTTAAGTATTGGGAAGACTTCAGTCCTTACTACAATCTCTACTCCTCTCCCATGACTATTCCTCTCCCTCATAACTGTGAGCCAGACTGTTCACAATCATGGTGAAATAATTCACTTCAAGATGATCTACCAACCCACATATTCCATCATCACCAAGACCACCTATTTACACCTCAGTAACATCAACCGACTTCACCTCAGTCTCAGCTCATCTGCTGCTGAAACTCTTAATCATTCCTTTGTCACCTCTAGACTTGACTATCCTAATACACTGTCACCTTGCCTCCCACATTCAAACTCCTTGTAATCTAGAGGTCATCCAGAATTCTGATGTTCGTGTGCTTACTCGCACACAATCCTGTTCACACATCACACCCGTGCTCCCTGACCTACCTTGTGAAGCACCAACACTTTAAAATTTTCCTTTGTGATTTTCAAATTCCTCCATGGGCCCTGCTAAGCGCTGTTATCCCCTCCAGCCTCACAAACGTGCCTATCTGTAATCACTTTCAGCCTCACAACCCTCTGAGTACTTATGTCCTCTTAAGCTTTTCTGATTTTAATCACTCCACCATTGCTAACTGGGTCTTTGTATACCAAGGCCACAAACTTTGGTCATTTCCTCCCTTAACCCCTCTGCTTCTGACCTTATTTTCCTCATTTACAGTTATCCTTAAAACCTTCTTTTTTATCTCAGCTTTGGTCATCTGTCCTAATGTCTCCATTTGTGGCCCCGCATCAAATGTTGCTTTATAACATTATCTATGAATGAACTGAGCTATTTTATTCTTCAATAGGTCCCATCTAAATACAAATGGCTGTTGGTTTCGACACCTATCGCTCTTCCATTAGAATGCCTGAATTAATATCCTATAACTCCTCACCTATCAGCATTGCAGGAGCACCTTCACCGAACAGATGGCATTTGTTCAAGCATTGACAACTGGAGATTGGCAACATTTGTTTTTCTCTCTACTGAAACCAGCAGAGTTAATGTTTCAGGGCGAACAGGGTGAAGTATGGAATAAAATTGGTGCAGAATTTGGTGGTCAATTTAAGGTCAGATGTGGAAAAGAAATCAACCATAGAACAAGAAATATAATTCCAGTCTGTGAAAAATATTGTGCAAAGATAAAGCTGATAAATAGGCAGCACATGGTCAGGGGTGGAGATAACCTCATTCAGACACAGCCAGCAAAAATAATGACAAAATACAAAACAAAGCTAAAATACGAAAAGGATGTTAGACACAAGCAGGGAGGGACAGAGATGAAACAGAGCAAAGGACGGACGGATTCAGATCCACAGTAACATTATACACCAGCTCCACAGCCATGAAACCTCTCTCAGGCAACAGAGAGCAGCACAAAAAGCTCTAAATTATAGATGAATTTCCAAAAATACTCACCTCCAAAGCAATTGTTTTGTTTTCAATTTTAAAATATCCTACTGGAGCCTGTCAATGAAATCATATCAAAAGCACTTGTTATGATGTCAGATGATGTTACTACAGGACAAGGCAGATCCAAGAATGGATTTGGGCTGGATAGAGTATACAATGATTGTTCTTTCCTGTGGTGGCCATTGACTGGAACATCAGCAGTCAAGGCTGCAGGTTTTCTTTTACAATAAAACAGAAGTTTATCCCACAGAAGGAAAATAAATAAAACAAACCAAGCTATCAAAATATAAAAGACAATTTGAATGATCTTAAAAAAAAATGCTATTCCTCAACTTTACAGTGATTCAAATCCAGATAAATTACCCTTCCCTATTAAATCTACTTTTGACTTAATCACTTCTCACAGCTCTGTCCTATGAACTGTAAAATCTGACATGAAAACTCACGAAACTAGAAGTTTAGATTTTCTCAGTCTTCTAATTGTATGCAGAATTCTGACTAAGCATTGATTAAGTCTGGAAGTTTCACAAGGTAAATTTTAATATCAAGATAACTGCTTTCCCTGAACAGTCCTATACTCCTTCATAGGAGACAAACTAAATTTACTTCTGACCCCAGCCACATCGCCACCAGAAACTCTTAAGATCTTTCACTCTCTGGGGTTTTCTGAACTAAAATAAATCCTTGATTAGACTAAACAAAAAGCAAATCATATAATCATACAGTACAGAAGAGGCCCTTTGGCCCATCAAGATTGTACTGCTAAAAATACACTACTACCTACATTAGTCCAATAATTTTAAATTTATGTCCCCATGTTATTGGCGCTTCGGCTAAGGAAAGAAGTTGCTTTCTTTTCACCCTATACTTTCTGCTCATAATCTTACATACCTCTATCAGGACCCCCGTCAAATTTCTCTGCTGCAAAGAGAATAACTCGAGCTTATCCAGCCAGTTTCCATACCTAAAATGCTCCATCGCAGGCAACATCCTGGTAAATCTCCTTTGCATCTTCCCCAGTGCAATTACATCCATCTGACATTGTGGTGACCAAAACTGCACACAGTACTCCAGCTGTGGCCTAACCAAAGTTCTGTCCAGCTCCAACGTGACCTCCTTTCTCTTATAATCTATGCCACAGCTGATGAAGGCAAGAATTCCATTCTTAACTACCAAAGTAACCTGTCCTTTACCACTTTCAGGGATCTATAGACAAGGACCGCAAAGTCCCTTCCCGAGCTCCGAGTGTCCTGCCATTCATCGAGTACTCCCTTGCCTTGTTCCTTTTTCTAAAGTGCATCACCTCACATTTATCAGGGTTAAATTCCATGTGCTACTGATCTGCCCATCTGACCAATCCATTTATATCCTCCTATAACCTAATACCTTCTTCCTTACTGTCAGTCACCTGATCAATCATTGTGTCATCCACAAACTTACTCATCATCTCCCTCACCCACATTCTCACTTGCATCATTTATGAATATCACAAACAATAAGAGACCCAGCACTGATCCTTGAGATTTGCCACTGCACGTTGGACTCTAATCGCACCAGCAGCCTTTGTCTCTGATCAATAAGCCAATTTTGGATCTAACTTGACGAGTTACCTAGACCCCATGAGCTTTGATCTTGTTTATCAATTTCCCATGTGGGATCTCATCAGCAGTCAACTCCATATATACTACATCAATTTCCCTACCCTCATACTAATACTTGGTCACAAACGCGAAAAGTTCTACCAGATTTGTCAGGCACGACCTCCCTCTGACATGCTGACTGTCTGATCAAATCTTTAGTCTCTAAATGGAGATTATTTTTATCCTTCTCTATTTTCTCCAACATTGATTGGATAAAATTTCTTATTGATGTTACACTCGCTGGTCTATCTCTGGCACCCTTTTTAACAATCCTCATTTGCAATCACCTGATGGACTTTTTTTTCTTAAATCCTTCACAAAAAAGTCACCAACATCCATATGTCACCAGTCTGACATCCAGATTCTACAAATGATAGTTATGTTTATATTACACACCTTTCAGTCCACACTGGAGTCAGAGAAAAGTCTCACAGTTGACGAAATATACAGGAAGCATGACGACATCACACATACGAACACTGAACACCTGGCTTTGTGTAACCCGGTGATCATCACACACTAAGAAGGATATGAAAGTCTGAGGGGGTGCAGAGGAGAGTTACCAGAATAGTTCAAGGGATGAGGAATGTTAGATGCAAGGAAATAACAAGGTTGTTCCCCTTGAAGCAATGGAGATTAGTGGGAGATTTGACACAGTTAGACATGGTTATGATTGATTTAGACAAACTAGATTAAGAAAGCCTGTTCTTATTAGCTGGTCATAAAAGGGTTAAAGGACAGGGATTTAAGATTTTCAGCAAGACCCATGGGGAGAAATGAAAAAGCTCTTTCTTAGGCAGCAAAGACCTGGAAACTCAAATCTTACCCTGGGATACCACAAATATCCAGGTCCTGATAAATTAACCAATCCTGTCAGATCCCAATGTGACAATTAGTTTGAATTTCTCAAATGTAAATCCTCCATTTGCAATAACCTGAAAAACGAGTTTACAAAGCTTTTATTCTTAATCCAGGATCAAAACCCTCTCTTTTCATTTGGCTGTACCAGCTAGAAAAGCTATTCCTGCTATAGCTGCAACATGGACATCTCTCCAAAATATAGGTAATTGCCCAGACATGTTGTGTCCACAAAAGTCAAGATAAATCCAACTGAACAATTTCTGCCCAATCTTTTCTCTATGGTCAGCAAAGGATGTTTGTCAACAGAGAAATGAACCAGCACTTACACAATACCAACTCACCTCCTGTCTCCCCAAAATCTGTCCACCAGCTAGAAGGCCCAGGCCAGGAATGCATCGGCATACTCTTTGCTTTCCTGAATGAGTGAAACCACAAACTTAGGTGGAAATACAAGGATAACTGGGAATGCAAGTTGTGAAGGCTGAACACGTATACCGCAAAATAAGATGAACAGGTTAAATGTGTTGTCAACAAGGTGATAAGATATTGAATGCGACACCAATGAGGAAACCCAACACCACCAAGGACAAAGCTGCATTTTTGACCAGCGCCACACTCCTCATCCACTCCCTCCTGATACACAATAGCTGGACTATGTCCAAGGCGAGCGGCAGCAACTTGCCCCCTAGGAAGATGGCGGTCCCGTTGCCACTGACCCCAATAAAGATGGTGACCATAAATCCGGGCCTGCGCCCAGGAGAAGTGCGCCGATCGTAAAATTGGAGCAAATCGGTGCCCGGGAGCTTCTTACTCACGATTTGTGGAGGGCAGCGGGTGTTTATACAGCCTTCCCGCCCATTCCACAACTCCGTTTGTCCGCACCGCTGTCACTATCCCCTCACTGCTCACCTCCCCGATCAGAACCGACCGCCTGCGTTTCCTGCCAGGCCGGTCAGAGCCGGCAATGCGCATATCCCAGTCAGACAGTACGCCTGCGCAATGCCCGCTAGTAAAGGAAATGGGGCATTTTCTGCCTCTCGATTAGCTCTGGGTAATCACACCGCCATTGTTTGTCTTTATTGGTGTATACGAAACCGTATTGATGACCTTATAACGTTTCAAGACAAACATATAAAATTATTATATTTGATACAGCGACCAAGTATGCACCGGGGTGTTACGACTTGGTCTAGCGATCCTCATGCCTCTGCAACTCAATCGCACCATCTACAAAAGTTCAAATAAAACAAATAACAGCGGGTTCTGGACGTCTGAAACAAGAACAGAAATTGCTCGAGAAAGTCAGCAGGCCTGGCAGCACCTGTGGAAATGTTTCGGGTCCGTGACAGCAGTTCTAAAGAAGAGTTGCCGGACCTGAAATGTTAACTTTTTTTTTCTCCGCAGATGCTGCCAGGCCTGCTGATTTTCTCCAGCAATTTCTGTTCCTCTTTTCAGAACATCTCATACTATGAACTTGCACCACGTGCATGGAGAAAGCGAACAGGTGCTTGGGAACTCAAAAAGGCTGATTTAATAGGGGGTTTACGCAAGAGGAAAGGTTTGACAGACTCAGCCTGCATCCGTTGCATATTATAAGAATGAGAGTTGATCTTATTGAAATATATATGGTTATCAGGAGTCTAAACAGGGTAGATGCGAGAAGGATCTTTTTCCTTGTGAGAAAGACTAGAACAAGTTTAAATTTAAAATATCGCTCATTTAAGAGAGGGATGAGGAAGATTTCCTTTTCTCCAGTTCTGAAGGAGGGTCACTAGATTTGAAAAAAAAACTCTGCCTTCTCTCCGCAGGTGCTACTACATCTGCTGAGTTTCTACTGCAGTTTCTGTTTTTATTACCTTTTCTTTTACTCAGTCTTTGGAACATTTTTTCCACAGAGAATAAAGTACGTCAATGAATACCATTAAAGCAAATATAAATAGATTTTTGACTTTTAAGGAAGCCAATGGTTATCAGGCGTAGGTATTAAAATGATTCGAGGTTACAATTAGATCAGACATGATCCTATTGTATGGGTGGAGGCAGATTTGAGGCACTGAATGGCTGTAAGTAATATGGTAACGTGTTCACATTTTACCACCATCTCCACATTTCCATCTAAGTCATATACTTTAGACATAATGTTAGTGCCCTTTGATCAATGGCTGAAAATGCTGGAAGTTTGGATTGCACCAAATCGTGTTGTGGGAACACCTTCACCAAACTGTGGTTCAAGAAGAATGTGGTTCACTATTTCACTCTCAAAAGGTAACTATGGATTGGCAATATACTGTAGTCCTGTTAAATTATTTTTAGGTTTCTATGAGAGCCCCCCCCATTCTTCTAAAATCCAGTGAATGCAATACTAACCGACTCAATTTCTCCTAGAGTCACAGAGTCATACAGCATGGAAACAGACTAACCAATCCAACTAGTCCATGCCGTCCATGTTCCCAAACTGAACTATATATAATACATACATGTATGTGTGTATTATACAGATAGTGTCTCGATCTAATGCCTACAAACACATAACTTAAAGTCTCTACACAAATCTTTGTTTGTAAAGTAAAACTGTTGGACAAACACTGTTTGTGCAAAACAATGAAGTTATTTTCCTGTGAATCTGTGATCCCCAGAAATCAAACATCAAATCTTCCTCAGTCAACAAAGTGAGTAATGAATTTCAAGTGTCATATAGGAGCTGGAAATGTCAGATGCACAAGAAAAGAATCAAGAACAATTACAGAAGTAAAGACTCTGAAGAATAAAAGAAAAGGTAATTGCTGAGATGATGTTTTCCCTCACAGATGAGCTGAGGAGCAAAAGGCACAGTCTCAGAATAGAGGGGCACCAAGTTAAGACTGAGTTGAGCAGGATTTTTTTTTCTCTCAGCAAGTTGAGTGTCTTTGGAACTACTTGCTATTGAAAGTTGTGGAGCAGAATCTTTGTATATATTTAAGGCTGAGATGGATAGAGTTTTGACCAGTAGGGGAATCAAAGGTTCCAGGGAAAATACAGGAAAGTCGACATGAGGAATGTCAACTTAGCGATGGCCCTGCTGAATGGAAGAACAGGCATGAGGAGCCGAATAGCTTAGTCATGTCAGAGATAGTAGGAACTGCAGATGCTGGAGAATCCGAGACAACAAGGTGCAGGGCTGGATGAACACAGCAGGCCGAGCAGCATCATAGGAGCAGAGAGGCTGACGTTTCGGGCCTAGACCCTTCATCAGAAAAAAAAGGGTTAGGGTTATGGTTAGGGTTAGGGTCATGTCATTTCTTACGGTCTTAAGGAGAACCCAAATATGAGGTTAAGCATGTATATAAATTATCTAAAATGATGATGGTGCAATGATACATAGAAATACAGAAAATAGGAGAAGTAGGACACTTAACCACTCAAGCCTGCTCTGTCATTCATGATCATCACGGCTGATCATATAGCTCAATATCCTAATCCAGCCCTCCCCATTGCACCCCCCGCCCCCATATTCTTTGATCTCTTTGGTCACAAGAGCTATACCCACCTCCTTCTTGAAAATGCATATTGTTTTGGCCTCAACCACTTTCCGTGGCAATGAATTCCACAGGTTCAACAATCTCTGATAATGAAATTGCTCCTCATTTCAGTCCTAAAAGGTTTACCCTTATCCTTAAACTATGAAGCCTCGATCGGGACTCCCCTACCATTAGGAACATTCTCCCTGCATCTAACCTGTCTAGTGCTGTTAAATTATTTTTAGGTTTCTATGAGATCCCCCCCTTCATTCTTCTAAACTCCAATGAATGCAATACTAACTGAGTCAATCTCTCCTAGAGTCACAGAGTCATACAGCATGGAAACAGACCAACCAGTCCACACTGACCGTGTTCCCAAACTAAACTAGTCCCATCTGCCTGTGCTTGGCCCATGTAACTCCAAACCTTGCCTATTTGTGAACTTATCTCAATGTCTTTTAAACTGTTCTAACTGGACCTGCAGACACCACTTCTCTGGCAGTTCATTCCAAACATGACCCACTCTAGTTGTAAAAGAAAACTGCCCTTCGGTCATTTTTAAATTTTTCTCCTCTCACCTTAAAAATATGCTCCCAAGTTTTGAACTCCGCTAACCCAGGGGAAAGATCATTCATGATTATCTATGCTCCTCATGATTTGATAAATCTCAGTAAGGTCACTCCTCAACCTCTTATGTATCAGTGAATAAAGTCCTAACCTTTTCATTCTAATTTTATATCTCAAACCCTCCATTCCCAGCAACATCATGATAAATATCCTTTCTGAACTCTCTCCAGTTTAATAATATTTTTCCAACAACAGGGAGACTAGAACTGCACATAGTACTCCAGAAGAGGCCTCACTAATGTCCTGTACAACCTCAACATGATGTCCCAACTCCTACACTCAAAGGTCAAGGCAAGTATGCTTAACACCTTCTTACCCACCCTGTCTTACCTGTGACACAAATTTCAGAGAATTATATACTTGAACCCCTAGGTCCCACTGTTCTACAACACTACCGAGGGCCCTACTGTTAATTATATAAGTTCTGTCCTTGTCCATTGCTTTGGGTCTGGAGTTAAATGTAAGCCAGAGCAGAATGGCAGATCTCCTTCCTTAAAGACATTACTGAAGCAGATGTGTTTTTAAACAACAAAATGAGATAGTTTTAGGCTACTATTACTGAGACTAGATTTCAATTTCTGTTTTTATGATTTGAATTTAAACTCCATCAGCTGTGAAAGCAGGATTTGAACCGAAAATCATTGGTCTGGACCTCCAGAATACTAGTCTAGTTTGACATTAACACTATACCACATTACCCAAACCAGAACACTGCACAATCTTTGCCATCCTACGCTAGACTCTTAAGTAAATTAGTGCTGCCATGCTAGTGTCATCTTTAAAACAAACAAAACTACAGGAGTACACTAACTGATGATAAACCAATTGCTTAAACTAAACTGACTCAAGTCCAAAACCCCAGCAACTCCAATCCAGTCTGTGACAAATGATCATTTAGCACTATCCAGCTTTTCACTGCGATGGATGGGAGGAAACCCTGGTATGTAACTCAGTGAGGGGTCAGCCTCAATGTTAGATGCACAGCAGAGTTAAAGGGTAGTGTGCATTGGGCAGATTCCATTGAAAGTACTCATTCATTGCATTAAAATTGATGCATTCTGGTTAATCTTGGTTAACACTTTGCAACTGTTCCCTTTTTAAAACATAGAGGAAGGGCAAATAATGAGACATTCAGCATTCACAACAGAACCCCTGGCATATTATTTCCCCTTCACCCTCCATACACCATTTCACCATTACACTTACAGTGACTGCACATTGAAGACAGAGATGTGGAGCCATTTCTTCTCATAGAGGGAAGTTAATCTGTGGAATTCTTTACCGCAGAAGGCTATCGAGGCTGGGTCAATAAGTTTTGTCAAGGCAGATATGGACATATTTTTAATCAGTAAGGGAATTGAGGATTATAGGGAAAAGGCAGGGAAGTGGAATCGAGGTTCATCTGACCAGCCATGATCTTATTGAATGGTAGACTTGATGGGCTGAATGGCCTACCTCTGCTCCTATGTCTCATGGACTCACATTATTAAATTTTGCTCCATTTTGTTCACTACATTCTCCTTCTTTATACACCCTCTTCCTCTGCATCCTTAATTCAATGGCATACCTTTGCTTCACTAGTTTTGCCCTGTCCCTTCAATGCTGACACCCTTCTCCCAATTCCCTCCCCAAAACATACACACAGTTACCATAGCAGCAGCCCTCACCAAGGTGTTCGAAACGACATGTGTTTAATGGCACCCAGAGGTTGTCTCCATCACTTGGGAGTCAATACCAGCAGTCCCCTCATGTTCTCTCCAAAGCCACATTCTTGATATCTGACCTCCCCCCTTCCCTTGCACTCTTCCTACTGTCCCCTCCTCTCCACATCAGCCTTTACTCAGTGATGCTGCTGCTGTTACTCACGCTGCTCACAGTATCCACAGGCCAGAGCCATTGCTACGAGTGACAGAGCAGGGCTGAGGAAAATGGGGCTCTCTCGGATCAGTCAAGGCTAACGTCAGCTCTCGGGCTGGACCCTCCCAATACTGTCATCCCAAGAATCAATTTGGTAAACATTTGCTGCACTATAGCAAGAACATCCTACCTCGGATAAAGGGACCAAAGCTAAATACAGTATTCATGTTGTAGCTTCCATAGTCTCCAGTCCAACTGCAGCAAGATGTTCTTGTTCCGGTACTCAAATCCTCTTGCTATGAAGGCCAACATACAGTTTACTTTCTTTAGTAAGAAGCTGATGCTGAGCGACCTCAGAGGGACATTGACACGTTGGCCAAAAAGGCAGAACCTGGCAGATGAATTTCAAAGCAGCTTGATGCACCTGTGTGCATACTTTCAGTCAGTTGCACATGAGGACACACAGGACCCTTCGAATATTCCCCTCTCTCAATTTATAGCCATTCAAGTAATAACGTCTTCCAATTTTTGCTACCAAAGTGGAAAACCTCACATTTATCAACATCTGCATCTGCCACGCAATTAGCCACTCACTCAGCCTATCCACATCACAATGCAACATCTCTGCATCTTCCTCACAGCTCACCCTTCTACTCGGTTTGTGTCAGCTGCAAATATTGAGATATTAGTTCCCTCGTCTAAATCATGAACATATATTGTGAATAGCTGACCTTCCAGTACTGATCCAGTGGTACCCCACTGTCTACCATTCAGAAAAAGACCCATTTATTCCTACTCTGTTTCTTGACCACTAAACAATTTTCTATCCACCTCTATATACTACCCCCAATCCTACGTGCTTTAATTTTACACATTAATCTCTAATGTGGGATCTTGTAGGAAACCTTCTGAAAATCAAAACAAACCACATCCATTGGTTCCCCCGATCAACTTACTAGATGCATTCTCAAAGATTTCTCTTTTGTAAATCCATGCTGAGTTCATCTGCTAACTGTTATCATAGAAATTAAATGTACAGTAAAAGAGGCCAATTGACCCATCATGTCTGCACTGACTTCCAAACATTACCCAGCTAGTTCCCATTCTCCAGCCCTATTTCCATAGCCTCTAAATTTATCACCTTCAAACGTATAGCCATTTCTATTTTGAAATCTTGCATGGAATCCACCTCCACCACTCTCCTAGGCAGTGCATTTCAAATCTTAACAAGTCTCCTCTGACTCCTAGCTCTTTTTCTGATAATCTTGAAATTGTGACTAATTACTGACATACCAACTAGTGGAAACAGCTTTTCCTTCTTTACCCTGATAAAATTGTTCATAATTTTGAACACCTCAATAAATTCACCTTTTAATCTTCTTTGCTCCAAGGAGAATAAGCCCAATTTCTCCAAATAAAAACCAAAAGAACTGCAAATGCTGTAAATCAGGAACAAAAACAGAAGATGCTGGAAAAGCTCAGCAGGTCTGGCAGTACCTGTGGAGAAAAAAAATCAGATTTAACATTTTGGGTCCAGTGACCCTTCCTCAGAACTGAAATCGGAATGTTAACTCTGATTTTTTTCTCCACAGCTGCTGCCAGACCTGCTGAGGTTTTCCAGCAACTTCTGTTCTTGTTCCTGATTTACAGCATCTGTGAAGAAAAAAAATCAGAGTTTCGGTTCAATCCTGGTAGTGGGGAAGCTTCCAAAAATTATCATTTTGGGAAAAAAAAGTCACTTGGGGAAACGTGGCTTCATTAAATAAAGATAACATGGATTTGCCAAGGAAAAATTACGTGTAACACAAATGCTTGATGGTTGGATGAGGGAACAGTGAGGTTAGATGAGGATGAACTCCCAGATATGATAAAATGCTCCACAGCAGAATTGTGAGCAATGTTAGACCTCAGTGACTAAATGGACAGTAGCAACATGGATCCAACAGTGGCTGAGTGGCAAGAAACGGATAGAAGAGAGTCAATGTAATTTTTAGAGTAAAACTTAACACAAAGATGCAAAACATAAATTGCTGTAGAAATTCAGCAGGTCTGGCAGCGTGTGTGGAGAGAAAACAGAATTAATATTTTAAGTCTCATGATGCTTCTTCAGAACTGAAGATTTGTTTCAGATTTCCAGCATCCCCAGTCCTTTGTTTTATTATAGAATGATGCAGGTTCAGCATGACAGGCAGTTTAGTTCAGTTGGCTAGGGGAAGGAAGCAGTCGATCAGATTGTCTCAATCTTAGTGATGAAGAAGCTTAATGAGCTCCTCACACTTGTTGTTGGAGGTGAACATGAAGGAGACTGATAGCTGGAGTATCTTTCCGGAAGAACTAACTTTTGTTAGAGAATTATAAAGAGTCAACATATTTTGTGCTTAACACAAACAAAATTTAACTATCTAGGATTTAACACATATAACTGAGCTGGAGTTTATTAACATCAGCAGAAACGGAACCCAATGAACGTGTTTCAGTCTGGATGTGACGAAAAGCTCGTGAACTCACTGGTGTCTGCAGTTTGTATGAGTGACTGAATCCCTTCCCAACTTGGAGCATGTGAAGAGCCTCTTCCCACAGTGAATTCGCTGGTGTGGAGTAAGTTGAGGTGATTGCCTGAATCCAGTCTCACAGCAAGAGTGGTCTCTCCCCAGTGTCAACACATTGATGGCACATTAGTTCCCTGGAACTTTAATAGTGGGCTTTTAAAAGATCTCTCTCCAGTGTGAGGTTATTGGTGGGTCAGCAGGGTGGAAGATTCAATGACTCTATTTGCATACACAGAGAAAGTAAACAGACTCTTCTCAGTGTGAACTCTTATGTATCTGCAAGTTAGATGATTGAGTGAAATCCTTCCCATACTCAAAGACAATAATATTGATCTTCCATATTATAATTTGAAATAAATTGTTGCTTACCCAGCACTGAATGTTGGATAGGCAATCTGATAATTTAGCAACAGCATAGGAGTTGAGAGGTGGTGGTGAGGTAGAGCTTGGTATTGTCAGTGTACATCCGAAACCTACTGGGTCTGGTTTTGGATAAGGTCACCCAGTGGCGTTACTCTGTCGATAGTAAGGAGTTACCATTCATTTGGGGAAAAAGTGCATTCTCAAGCTCCACAACTCCCAGGGTCACCAGAGAAGTTAATAATTTAATCAAACATGCAGAGTTCCTGATTCACCTCACTTATGGAACCCAGCTAACAAAAAACACGAACCAGGTTCCTGTACTTAACAAGAACTATATTAGAAATAAGTAAATTCTAATCACAAGTGAACAGCCATGAACTGGTGCAGATTCAGTGGGTTAAAGGGTCTTTTCCTGTGCTGTAATCCACTAATGACTCTAACTATCAACATATGCCTGTACTAATTAAAACTCTAATACCTCATAAAACCCCTATACATGCACAGAGACACAAACAAAAGATATATTTTTTATGTGTGTAGGTAAGTAAATTGGATAACATAGTTCAAAGCTTCAGTCCACGGGTTAGTTCAAATGTTCCTTTTGGCTTGCTAGGGGTCTTTCTGTTTTTCAATCTCCTTCCTCCATGTTCTTTCTCTTCTTCGGAGAAAAAGGAGGGCAATCGATACAGTAATAACAAAATTTCTTGGCTGTTAGTTAAAGGCAACAGTGTGCAGCAAGTAGTGGGAAAAAAAAAACTGGCTTTTTTCAGGCATCACGTATTTTTATTGTACAGAGGGAGACACAGAGTCCTTCCAGTAGTCCAAAGACTTTTCCCTATATCCTTCATAAGCTGTTCAGCTGCTCTGGAACCAGAGTTACCATCCATGATTAGTCACAATTCAACAAACCAATCAGCAAATTATTGCCAGCCAAATCTCACTCGAAACACACACACACAACCAGTGTCCTGCCGTCTCCAAATATCTGCCTTCGCAGCTTGAACAACGCAGCACTGTAAATAAGCACAAAAAGAGGTTCAGTAACTTCCTATAAATGCATCAATTCCTTCCACCATCCTTGGTTTCAAAACAGTCAATGTTCCATATTCATCCGCAATCAAAAATACAGAAAATAAAATGATACTCTTTTGACAGGGCGGGGGTAAGGATCAATCGCTGGGAGACGCCAACGATACCAATACGGGAGCACAAGACTAGCTGCTGCAGGAGATTCGCTGTCTATGGTTAGATCAATAAGAATGGAACCAAGAGAGTGCAGGCCCAGGCAGCGAGGCAAGATGCATTGGAGGAGGGTGGTGTAGTCAACCTTGTGATCAACAGCAAAATCAAATCACTGCAGTTACTTGTGAGCTCGTTGATGTCTCAGCAGGTTGGATGACTGAGTAAATCCTTTACCACACTCAGAGCAGGTGAACGGCCTCTCACTAACATGAACCCGCTGGTGACTTAGCAGGTGGGACGGCCGAGTGAATCTCTTCCCACACTTGGAGCAGGGGAATGGTCTCTCCCCAGTGTGAATACGCTGATGATTGAATAGGGTGGAAGATTGAGTGAAACCCTTTCCACACTCGGAACAAGTGAATGGCCTCTCTCCAGTGTGACATCGCCGGTGGACGGTGAGATCGGATGAGTGCTTGAACCCGATGCTGCACTGAGAGCACCTGAACGGTTTCTCATCAGTATGAACACGTTGATGGGACATCAGTTCCCCAGAACTTTTATAGGACTTCCCACAGTCCAAGCATTTAAAGGGTCTCTCCCCAGTGTGAACCCGCTGATGCCTCAGCAGATGTGAATGTTGCGTGAATCCCTTCTCACACTCGGGGCAGGTAAATGGCCTTTTTCCAGTGTGAGATCGCTGGTGTGTCAGCAGGTTGGATGATTGAGTGAATCTCTTCCCGCACTCAGGACAAGTGAATGGTCTCGCCCCGGTATGAACTCGCTGGTGTTCCAGCAAGTTGGCTGACTGAGTAAAACCTTTTCCACACGTGGAGCAGATGAACGGTCTTTCCCCTGTGTGACCACGCCGATGAATTTCTAGCACCGATGGAGAAATAAATCCCTTCCCACAGTCCACGCATTTCCACGGCTTCTCTCTTTTGGAACTGCATTTGTGTCGTGATAGGCCAGATGATTGGGTGAAACTTCGTTCACACACAGAACACATGTACGGTTTTTCCCCACTATGAACACTGCTTTTTTCTTCCATGTTTAAAATCCAATGATATTTAGGAACAAAAACAGAAATTGTTGGAAAAACTCACGTCTGGCAGCATCTGTGGAGAGAAAGCAGAATTAATATTTCAGGTCCAGTGACCCTTCTTCAGAATATCGATATTCAGGTTGCGATAAAGCATTCAACTGTGTCAGATCCCGCTGTGCTGTTTGGTTTCCGCTTCCCGACTGCAAATTCCCCTTTGCTCATACCCCTGTGTGATACGAATATAAAACAGAAGAAACACACGTGAGAGAAAAAAAATAAAAAGGCAGAAAGGTACATTATGAAATTGAGCTAAATGAATCTGGTAATTTGCAGGCTTGTATGAGAAAAAGTTACTGATTATCATTAAAACCCACCTAGTTTATTAACGTCTTTAAGGGAAAGAAAGCTGCTGCCTGGTGTGGAACTACAGAAGATTCTGGCGTCTACAAGTGGTCATGGTCCAGAATGTTGACAAAATCTCACAAACCATCAACCTCTGCAAGTTGAAAGACCAGGCCAATTGCTATACGTAAACACCACCACCTCGAAGTTACACACCATCCTGCCTGTCTGACATCCAGTACTGGGTAAGCAGAAATTTCATTTATTAAATATTGGGAAGACTGTGGTAATTGTCTTCAGTCCCCAGTACAAACCACACTCCCTCTCCGCCGACTTAATCCCTCTCTCTGTCAACTGCCCGAGTTTGAACCAGACTGTTCAAAACCAGGTGAATTAACCTTAACCCCAAGGTGTGCTTCCAACCACATATCCCCATCATCGCCTATTTCCACCTCAGTAACATCACCCGACTCCACCCTAGGCTCAGCTCATCTGGCGCTGAAACTCTCATCCATTCCTTTGTTACCTCTAAACTTAACTACACTGACATACTGCCAGCTGCCCTCCCATATTCAGTCTCCCTGTAATCTCGAGGTCATTCCAAAACATTGCCCCAGACAAACATGGCGGCCGAACTTGCAACCTGCCGCCCAGTGCCCCCAATAAAGATGGCGATCGTGGCCGGGGGCCTGTCGTTGGGAGGAAGCCCGGCACAAGCCCTCGTTCCTGGTCATTGTCAAGGGAGGACTGGGCGGGGGGGTTCTAATTTAGTTTTTGCGGCTGACACAAGGTGTTTCTGAAGCCCCTCCGCTCATTCACTATCGGCTCCAACGTCCCCTCTGGTCCGCCGGATTCTCACCATTTGTGCATTCAGCAAACCAGTGAATGACCATCGATCCTGATTTGTGCTCTGGGAGGTTTTGGGGGGGGCGGGGTTGTGGGAAGATGGCGTCGACGCATGCGCCTTACGATGAAGGCGTCCAGCTGGTACTGCGCATGCTCCAACGGTAAATGGGCTCCCAGTGATTGACGGTAATCCAGAGCCAATGGCAAGGGGCGTTGGTTGCGGCTGGCCCGCTATCCAATGGAAGTGAGCGGAAGGCGGGCTGCATCAGTTAGATAAAGAGATCGAAAGATCCGCGGATGCTGTAAATCAGAAATGAAAATAGAAATTGCTGGAAAAGTTCAGTAGGTCTGGTAGCATCTGGGGAGAGAAATCGGAGGAGGATGTCACTCGACCTGAAACATTAACTCTGATTTCTCTGCGCAAATGCTGCCAGACCTGCTGAGCTTTTCCAGCAATTTCTATTTTCGCTGAGAGGTAGTGTGTTGCAGATCCTGGGAAGTCGCGAAGTTCAATGATGTGCTCATCTTCACCTGGGAGTTTCTCTCCATCTTTATAAAGCTAGTTTTGATGGGCAACAGCCATCCTGACCATCCAAACCATTTCTCCCTTGGTGGAGAAAAACTCCTCCAAACCACTTCAATCCCTCTGTTCATTATTTCCTCCACCTTCCTTGCTTTGAGGAAAACAATCCCAGCTTCTCCAGTCACTCCATCTGAACTGAAAGTCCTCATCCCTGACACTATTGTGAGATTGTTCTCACACCTTCACCAAGGCCTTGACATCTTTGCTAAATTCTCAGCATTGAACAGAATATTTTCAGTGCACCCACAGTGATTTAGAAAGATTCAGGAGGACTTCAGATTTTGGCACATCCTGTGTCCTTTAATAAAGCTTGAGGACCTGTTAGACTTCTCAAAAAACAGCTTGATCAATTTGGCCTGTCACATTAAAAGAATTGTGTCATAGACACTTAGGACACTTTTCCAACATTCTTTTTAAAATTGTCCCATTTAGTTTATTCAGCTTCTCCTCATTCATCTTTTCCAATTTCATCGTTGATCATGAATAAGTTTTGGATATTCTGAGGTTGTAAATAGGACAAAAGGAACACAAGAACTTTGTTTCACCCTTTAGAGGGTTATTTTTTGGACTGGAGGCCTGTGACCAGTGGTGTACCATAGGGTTCAGTGCTGGGTCCATTGCTTTTTGTCATTTATTTAAATGATTGGGATGTGAATATCAGAGGTATGGTTAGTAAATTTGCAGGTGACACCAAAATTGGTGATGTAGTGGACAGCAAAGAAGGTTACCTCAGAGTACAATAGGACCTTGATCAGATGGCCCGAGGAGTGGCAGATGGAGTTTAATCTAGATAAAGGTGCTACATTTTGGTAGGGCAAATCAGGACAGGATTAGACACTTAATGGTAAGGTTTTGGCGAATGTTGCCAAACAAAGAGACCTTGGAGTGCAGGTTGACAGTTCCTTGAAAGTGGAGCTGCAGGTAGACAAGTTAGTGAAGAAGCCATTTGGTATGATTGCCTTTATTGCTCAGTGCATTGAGTATAGGAGTTGGGAAGTTATGTTGCGGCTGTACAGGATGTTGGTTAGGCCACTTTTGGAAAACTGGGTTCAATTCTCCTCTCCCTGTTATAGAATCCACAGAATCCATAGAATCCCTACAACATGGAAGCAGGTCATTCAGCCCATCAAGTTCACACTGACCCTCTGAAGACCATCCCACCCTTACCCTATCCCTGTAACCCCGCATTCCCCATGGCTAATCCACCTAGCCTGCAAATCCTTGGACACTATGGACAATTTAGCATAGTCAATTCACCTAACTTGCACATCTTTGAACTGTGGGAGAAACCAGAGCACCTGCAGGAAACCCACACAGACACTCCACACAGACAGTTGCCCAAGGGTGACATCGAACCCAAGCCCCTGGCATTGTGATGCAGCGGTGCTAACCACTGAGTCACAGTGCTGCCCCATGTAGGAAAAATGATGTTAAACCTGAGAACGTTCAGAAAAGCTTTACAAGGATGTGCCTGGGTTGGAGGGGTTGAGCTGAATAGGCTGGGGATACTTTCCCTGCAGTCAGAGGCTGAGAGGTGAATTATAGGGGTTTAGAAAATCATGAAGGCATGGATAGGGTGAATAGTCAAGCTCTTTTCTCCAGGGAAGGGGACTCCTAAACTAGAGGGGATAGGTTTAAGTTGAGAGGAGAAGATTTAAATGTTACCCAAGGGGTAACTTTTTCATGCAGAGGGTGGTGCATGAATGGGATGAACTGCCAGAGGAAGTGGTGGAGGCTGGTACAATTACAACATTTGAAAGGCATCTGGATGGGCATATAAGTAGGAAGAATTTCAAGAGATATGGGCCGACTGCTGGCAAATTGCACTGGATTAAGTTAGGATATCTAGTCAGCATGGATGAGTTGGACCGAAGGGTCTGTTTCTGTGCTATACATCTTTATGACTGTGTTTGAAGTGGCTCTCTTTGCTCCAAAAATACACTGGGTTGAGATACAGACTGACCTACTTTACAGCAGAATCAACTTCAGCTGGGAATCAGTGAATGAAAAGGTAAGATCCCAGATAATGGTACCTCAAAGTCTGACAGCTCAATCGGCTCTACTTTTAGCTCAGGAGACCACAACTCCACACACTGTCCTCAGGGGAGTTCTCCTGGTGCAGAGAGACCAGCATTCCTGCCTTAATACCACCAAACAATCTGAATTAATCAGCCACACATTGGGTTACTATTTGTGGAATGTAACTGTGCACAACCTAGTATCATGGAATAATAACCACTTGTATTTATAGCAATAAAAATGTTCCAAGACAATTCGGAACAGTTTCATGAAAAAAAAACATTTAATGCAGAGCCAGAGAGAGCAACATGAAGAGAGGTGCTCAATTGGACAGGCTATTTTCAACAATTATCATTAACTTGGAGAGAGACAGAGAGGTTTAAGAAAGAAATTTCAGAGCTTCACATCAATAATGGCCATCACTTGTGGAGTAATTAAAATCATGAAAACTAAAGAGGCCAGAGTGACAGGAGACCAATTCCTTCAGATAGTGGTGTGATTAGAGGTGACAGATAGGGATGGACAAGGCCACAGAGGGAGTTAATGAAAAGCTGTTAATTTTAAATCTGAGGCATTACCAGCCCAGGAGCCCAGGTAATTGAGCACAGGGTGATAGGCGAAAGGGACATGGTGTGAGACACAGACAGCAGAGTTCTGGATGATCTCATGTTTCCAGGTGGGACAGTGTGAATGTGAGAGACTGGTCAGGAATGTATAGGAATCAAGTAACCAGGCAACACAGATATGGATGAAGGTTTCAACACCTGAGCTAGGGTGAGGTGGAGACAAATTATATTTTGGAGATTTGAATTTCTGGTGTTAGTGATTGTGTAGATGTGTGTTTGGAAGCTCATGGTGGAATATTATAGAATCCCCACGATGTAGAAAGAGGCCATTTGGCCCAACGAGTCTGCACTGACACTCCAAAGAGCATCCCATCATAACCCCACATTTACCAAAGTTAACCCACCTAACCTGCACACCCCTGGGCACTACGGAGCAATCTAGTACGGCCAATCCACCTAATCTGGACATTTTGGACTGTGGGAGGAAACTGAAGCACCTGGAGGAAACCCACGCAGACACGGGGAGAATGTGCAAACTCCACACAGTCACTGAGGGTGGAATCGAATCTGGGTCACTGGCACTGTGAGGCAGCAGTACTAACCATTGTGCCACCATGCCGCCCCAAAGGTATGAGAGCAAAATTATGAAGAATGTGGCTCAGTTTCAAATGGTTCCTAGGGATGGGTATAAACTTGGTAGTTAGGGGTTGCAATTTCTGATAGTGACTGAAAACAATGGTCTTCTGGACGTGTGAAAAGCAGTTTGACAGTTGTGCAATTGAGAGGTTTTTTTTATTCATTCAGGGGATGTGGGCATCACTGGCTGGCCATCATTTGTTGCCCATCCCTAGATGCTCTTGGGAAGGTGATGGAGAGCTGCCTTCTTGACTCACTACAGACCCACAATGCATCTAGAGAAGCAATTCCTGGGTTTAACACAGTCATGTTGAAGGAATGGCGATAAATTTCCAGGTCTGAACGGTGAATGGTTTGGAGGGGAATTTGATCCCACACATCTGTTGCTCTCGTCCTTCTAGATAGAAGTGGTTGTGGGATTGGATCTTTGACATTTCTGCTGCGCATCTTGTAGATAGGACACACTGCTGCTGTGATAGAGGGAGTGGATGCTTATG